CTCTCTCTCTGTTTAAATCTAGATTAAAGACACATCTCTTTGGCCAAGCATTCAAATAATGCATCTCATAATCTTTTACTGCAGTTATATCTGATCAAATGCACATTATTATTCTTTAGTTTGGGTTAAACAAATAAATTTTGCTTGGTTGGAACAGCAGCTACGCTAATTATGTTTCTATTTGTTCCTCTGTTTTTTGCCACGGGATTGACATCCCGTGGTAACTAGGATTTACACAAGCTTCAGTCTGGATCCAGAACACCTGAGAAGAGATGATGCCAACCCCTCAGAGGACCTCAGATGATGCCAACCCTGAAACAACATACAGAACTACCACATTTTGCTATAAGTTTGATTGCATCATATAATAATTGCTGTTAATAGTGTTCATCGTCTGTTTTATTACGTCTTAAATTGATTTTTCCGTGATTTTTCACACCAGCTATTTCAACAGGACACATCTTTTGGACACAATTAACAAAGCTGAAACATTGCCGTTGCTTGTCGTTAATGATAAAAAATACTTATTAATAAGTACGTTAATTGAGTAAAGCTATGTAGCACCGGCTAATAGGTCAGTCTTCATGTCAACATTTACGCAGAATGATATTATCAGGATATTTAATATTCCTCAAGAACAAAACAGATCTTCTGCCCTCGCGATTTGAGACTGTCCTCAAGAAACCACAAGCGAAAAGTCATTATTAATCAATCTTGCACAAGGCCATCATTCAGTGTCAGGCCCGACGAGCTACAAATCACAAACAACTGAATGAATGTCTGTGTGTATTTCACTCACCATCTGTAATATCCGTCTTAGCATTCTGGTCCTTTCTCTGGTTAGAACTATGAAAAATTAAATCTTAAAAGTTTTGTACAAATGAGTGTGTTTTAATATTTTGCTGTTGACACCTGCAGCCAAACACTGCTGCTTTTGTAAGCCCACCCGTTTTCCGCTAAGTCCCGCCCTTCACCTAATCAATGTTTGCTATCATTGGACCGCTTGCATGAACGGCTTCTAAAATGCCCAATCGTAGGCTGTCTGTAAGGAGCATCCACCAATCATTGGAAAGAGAGATTAGGTCAAAGGCGGGACTTGTCGGAATGGAGCGCAACAGTGACCGCCCACTTTTTTGCCATGATTCCGGAAGTATTTAAGGGTAAGCTTTA